GTAGTATTACTGCCCAGCCCGGTGGAGCTTTGGGAAGGAATTATATTGGACGTCTTGCGCAAACAGGCGTATGGTCGAACGATCGCTAGTGATAAAGTTCTTAGCCGTGTAGCGCACGGCGGGACGCCAAGCTTCCAAAGAACAAGCTGGTCGGAGTTGTATCTGGTCGGAGTTGTCGGGCTGGTCTGGTTTGAGCCTGGTGCTGAAGCTTTAGCTAAAGCTTTAGCTTAGGATTCAAGCGAGAGTGGTTTAGGGGAGGTCCCAGAATGCATTTTCAACGACGACGACCGAATTGCAGTTTGTTTTGCATTGCAGTTTTTTTTGCATCTGGTCTGGCTGGTCTGGTTGGAGCCTTGTGCTGAAGCTTTAGCTTAGGATTCGGGCGAGAGTGGTTTAGGGGAGGTCCAGGGATGCATCTTCAACGACGACGACCGAAAAGCAGTTTTTTTTGCATTGCAGTTTTTTTTGCATTGCAGTTTTTTTTGCATCTGGTCTGGCTGGTCTGGTTGGAGCCTTGTGCTGAAGCTTTAGCTTAGGATTCGGGCGAGAGTGGTTTAGGGGAGGTCCAGGGATGCATCTTCAACGACGACGACCGAAAAGCAGTTTTTTTAGCATTGCAGTTTTTTTTGCATTGCAGTTTTTTTTGCATCTGGTCTGGCTGGTCTGGTTGGTCTGGTCTGAGCCTGGTGCTGAGGCTTTAGCTCAGGATTCAGGCGAGAGTGGTTTAGGGGAGGTCCAGGGAGGCAGCGCCAACGACTCCGACCGAAAAGCAGTTTTTTTTGCATTGCAGTTTTTTTTGCATTGCAGTTTTTTTTGCATCTGGTCTGGCTGGTGTGGTTGGTCTGCTCTGAGCCTGGTGCTGAGGCTTTAGCTGGCGTTGGCATGGCGTTGGGTAGAAGGAGGGGGAGGAGGAAGAGCATCACCATCTCTGACGATTCCAGACTGGCGCCGTCTGGGGGGGTACGTGGTCACGCATGGACCCCCAGCGCGGCGCTGCTCGGCGATGGAGCTTACTTAGCTGTACTCCACAACGGCCCAGGTCGAGAAAAAACGCGGCCGCTCCTCGATCCTGGTCTTGTTACTCTGGTCGTGTTAGTCTGGTCTGGTCTGGCTGGTCTCGCGTCGACTGGTTGGTCGAGTAGTTCACCTCGTTGGTCTGGTTCGTCTGGTGTGGTACGTCCGATTGGTTCGGTTTGTCTGGTTCGGGTTGCTTTATCGGTCTGGTTCGCCAGGCTGGTCTAATTGGTCTGGCTGGTCTGGTCGGTCTGGTTGGTCTAGCTGGTCTGCTTGGTCTGGCTGTTTTTTTGCTCGTTGGTCTCGTTGGTCTAGCTGGTTTCGTCTGGTTGGTCTCATTGATTGGTCTGGCTGGTTGATTGGTCTGGCTGGTCTGGCTGGTCTGGTCTGCTCTGGATGGACTGGTTGGTCTGGCTGGTCTGGTCTGGTTTGGTCTGCCTGACCGGATCGACTGGTCAAGCTGGTCTGCTTGGTCTGGCTGGTATGTTTTTTCTCGTTGGTCTCGTTGGTCTGGTTGGTCTTGTCTGGTCTGCTCTGGCTGGTCTCGTTGGTCTGGTTGGTCTGTCGCGTTGGTCTGGCTGGTCGGGTTCGTCTGGGTGGTCTGGTCTGGTTGATTGGTCTGGCTGGTCTGGCTGGTCTGGTCTGCTCTGGATGGACTGGTTGGTCTGGCTGGTCTGGTCTGGTTTGGTCTGCCTGACCGGATCGACTGGCCAAGCTGGTCTGGTTGCTTGGTCTACTTGTTCTGCTGTCTGCTTAGTCTAGCTGGTGTGGTTGGTCTGGTTGGTCTGGCTGGTCTGCTTCGTTTGGTTGGTCTGGTTAGTCTGGCTGGTCTGGTCTTGTTGGTCTGGTTGGTTGGTCTGGCTGGTCCGGCCCGTCAAGCTGGTCTGGTTGGGGTTGGTCTGGCTGGTGTAGCTGGTCTAGCTGGTCTTGTCTGGCTGGTCTGTTTGGTCTGGCTGGTCTGGTCTGGTCTGTCTGGCCTGATCGGTTGGTCTACAGGTCTGGTCTCATTGATTGGTCTGCCTGGTCTGCTTGGTCTGGCTGGTCTGCTTCGTCTACTTCCTTTAATTGGTTTGGTTGGTTGGCCCGGTTAGTCTGGCGCGTTCGGTTCTGGCTGGTATGCTTGGTCTGGCTGGTCTGATTGGTCTGGTTGGTCTGGCTGGTCTGGTTCGTCTGGTTCGTCTGGTTCGTCAGGTTGGTTGGCCGGGTCGCGTCGCGCCGTCGTCCTCGTCCCCACCCTCGATTTTCTCGTCGTCGTCGTCGTGGTCAGCGTCGTCGTCGTCGTCGTCGACGTCGTCGTCGTCCTGCCATTTGCGTCGCCGCAACCGGGCGCGGGACCGAAAGCGCTGAAACGTCGAGCCCCACTGCGGCGGAATTGAATTGAGGTGGCGGAGAGGAACATCAGCAGCCATATCAGTTCTTATGCCCCAAAGCAAGGTAAGGCGCTGGGGCATAAGAACTTTGCGCCTCGAGCGGCTTAGAATGGCGTACGTTTTGCAGGCTGGAACATACGGCTTGCGTTATGTATTCTAGGGAATATTGCCGAGGAGTCGGGCGAGCAGACATGCATAGAGAGTACTGGCAGGCACAGGCGGGCATTTACACATTGCATGGCTCAGGCATGAGGATGATGAAGGCAGGCGTCATGCTGCAGTGCATTGGCCGTTCATTATAGTATTGCTGCCAAGCCCGGTGGAGCTTTGGGAAGGAACTATATTGGACGTCTCGTGCAAAGAGGCGTATGGTCAAACGATCGGTGGTGATGGCGTACGTTTTGCAGGCTGGAACATACAGGTTGCGTTATGTATTCTAGGGAATGTTGCCAAGGAGTCGGGCGAGCAGACATGCATAGAGAGTGCTGCAGGACGTGGCAAGCCCAGGTGGGCATTTACGCATTGCATGGCTCAGACATGAGGATGAGGAAGGCAGGCGTCATGCTGCAGTGGATTGGCCGTTCATTGTAGTATTGCTGCCAAGCCCGGTGGAGCTTTGGGAAGGAATTATCTTGGACGTCTTGGGCGGCTCGTGGTTGTCCCGAGTTCATCTTGGGGCGTTTTCTTGTGGCAGTTTGCGAGCCTCGAGCGCCGTATTGGGAGCCTCTCGGGCCGTCTTGGGGCGCTCCTGGGCCGTCTTGGGCGGCTCGTGGTTGTCTCGAGTTCCTCTTGGGGCGTTTTCTTGAGGCGGTGTGCGAGCCTCTAGCGCAGTCTTGTGAGCATCTCGGGCCGTCTTGGGGTGCTCCTGGGCCGTCTTGGAATCCTCTCGGGAGCCTCTTTGGCGATCTTGGGGCGATCTTGGGGGCCTTCTTGGCCGTCATGGAGCGTCGGAAAGCCTAAAAGGCGGGAACCCCAAAAACCTTAGAAAAACAATTGGAAAATGAATGAATTGTGTCTCTTGGGATCCTCTTTGGGCCCTCCTGGGAGCCTCTTGGGGGTCTCCGGAGCCGTCTTGGAAGCTTTTTAGGCCGTCTCGGAACCATCTTGGGCGTCTTGGAGCGGCCTTTGGGCGTCTCGGGTCCCTCTTGGAGAATGTCTTCGGGTTCTCTTGGCGTTTTCTCGTGGCATTTTGCAGGCCTGAGAGCCGCCCCAAAGGCCTGCACACCCACATTTGTGGTCGATAGGCCGGCCCCGGGCCCCTGGCCCCCGTGCGCCGTTATATGTATAATAACATACACCCCCATACGTATACACATACAAATATCAACCTGCCTACGGCAAGTCCCGCCACCGTGCCAGCCCAACATATCCAACGGTTACTGCTCGGGGAGGCACAGGAACCTTTCGCGTGTGTCACCTCGTGTCTCCAGGCGTATAAGAGCCGTATTGCGGATGATGGGAATTATGAAGATGGCGGGGGTCAGGCGGCTGATGATGGTGACGACGGGGAGCAGCAAGAAGAAAAGGAAGGGCCTTCACATGTGACGCCTTCCGTCTTCACTATTTGACCAGCTCTTACTGGACTCGCCTGGCTACGGGCAGTCGTGGCCCCCTGTGAGGCAATCCTGGGGATCCACATGGGGCCCTCTTGGGCCGTCTGCGGGCTCTCTCAGGCCGTCTTGGGGCCCTCTTGGCGGTGCGGTGGGTGTCGTGGGGCCGTCGTGGGATCGTCGTGGCGCCGTATTGGGCCTTCTAAAGCTGCCGTGGATGCCTCGTGGGCCTTCCAGGGGCCATCTGGGGCCATCATGGGACCATCTTGAGGTCTCGTGGGCTGTCTTGGGGCCATCGTGGTGGCTTCTTGGGCCGTCTTGAGCGAACGAGCGAACGAAAGCCATCCAAACACCACAAGGACATCCATGATTTCGGCTTCTTCGGACACTGATGGAGGTCCTCTTGTGCCCCGTTTGGGCCCTCTTGGGGCATCTTTTTTTTTTTGCCCAGACCATCTGCCCAGACTGAGACCGCGTAACATGCAGAACAAGCATCAAAGGGCCGATGCAATGATTGCACCAAGGGCTGCCAAAAACGACTCCGCTCAACCTTCTACTGCACACGAGACGTTGGTGTTTGCACCAGCGTGCGTTCAAAATGCACGAATGCCGGCAAAAAAGCGTTGGAAGACCAACGCCGCCTTCAATTGAGCCTGCGCCCGCGAAGCAAGCACCAATGCCAATGAGGCGCTGACCATTGTGCCATGAGCTGGGGTCGTGCAGCTCGCCGCTCGTGCATCATGCGTGAAGCGCGCCTCGTCTATTCGATGCTAAGTTCGCCTCTTCGTTTAGAGGCCTGGAACATTCCTTGTCAAAATAAGCATGAACTTTGACGCCACGCTGAACGCCAAGATGGGAATTGAGCCCGCTACAGCGACAATCGCCCGAAACGCCTTGCGTGGTCCCGCAAACGAAGCTGCTGGCAATGCAAGCGCTCGGCAGGACTCAAATTACCCAAGTTCCATCGCCCACTTTGTTTGGACGAAGGCGCTGCCGAATCAAACAAATAAATATACATACATCCTCCCTTTCTTATATTTCTATAATCGCGACGTTGCTGGAAAAATCAACGACGAGTTATCGAGTGCAAGCCCTGTGTGCGGACGCCGCTGGTGAAATTCTTCCAGTCCTGGTAGTCCTCTGCCGTGCACTGCTGGGTCGTAAGCGGCTCCCCGTGAACGGCGGAGGCGTAAAACGTCTGCCAGGCGCACGCGAAGAGTATGGCCGCCAGGACGACGTGAACTGAGAAGCCGATAGAGTTCGCCTTGAAGAACGGGGCCCTGAAATCGACAAGCCACCAGAAGAACTCGAAGCTCATCCCAGCCAAAAATGACCAGAAATACAAAAAGCCACGTTGGCCCCAGGAATTGATGATGAAGCACTCCTGGTCGATATGCCTCCACAGCCATACGCAATTGCGGAGAATCACGGCGACGATTCGGTTCCATCTAGGCGAAAATATTAACACCACGGCGACCGTCATGTACTGGAAGTGGAGCCCATAAAAACCACGGCTTGCGACGTACAACCCACGGAAGAGGCAGACGAGGATACCGACACCTAATGCCACGAAAAAACAGATTCTCCGCACCGCGCTTCGGCTGGACGTCACAGACGCCCAGCCCGATGGTGCCCAGCCCTGCGGCCAGGATGATGACGAACATCGTGACTTTGCCGAACATGGCGTGGAACTTGCCGTAGGCGTCAATGCCAATGTGCACAGCCATCCACATGGAGCAAAGCTGAACGCAGATCGCGGCCAGCATCATACAGGCGAACCACATGTGCATCTCCAGGACGGACGGGATCCCGATGTATGCGCGGTACGGGTTCTGCTCGTTCATCGAGTGCGGCATGTGAGGCTCCCCAGCCGACGTGTTCCACAGCCCCTGTACAGGATCGACTTGAAGACCGAGTACATGAAGATGCAGAAGCAGGGGGTCGCGTAGGCAATGGCGATGTTCAGATACTGCCTCTTGAAAGCGTGCACGTGGTTGTCCCAGTCCGCGGGCCCCTGCGTCGAGCACCATGTGCGCCGGGCCGCGAGCCGACACTATGTGGCTTATTGCAGGGGGCAGAAGGCCCTCTTGTTCCAGCGCGCCCGCGCGCGGAATCATCAAAGCCATCGCCGCCGCCGGGCCAGCTGGGCCGAGCGAGCTTCGGCTGAGAACTGCGACGAGCTAATGAAGCCGAAAAGACCTGATCCCACATGGCTTGAGCCAAAATGGCTATGGCTTGAGCCAAAATGGCTACGGAGGCCCTCTTGGGGGCATCTTGGGCCGCCTTGAAGCCATATTCGGCTGCCTTGGGGCCAAATTTGGACGTCGAATGTATTGGGCCATCTTGGTGTCCCTTTCTTCCTGCATGGGCCGTCTTGGAAGCTCGGGACGCAGATCCAATGCGTCTCAGAAAAAGACTCGTGGCCTCCAGGGCGCGACTCCATCGTTTTGTAACGAGGGATCGTGGCCTCGGGAGGGAGGGTGGTGCATGTGGGGAAGGCGATGCATGCGGGAAGACGCCTTGCTAGAATGCAGGACCACCCTACCAGACAGCCCTTGGCATTCTTCCACGCACGGCGCAAGCACAAAACACGATGTGTTCTAGCATACTGTGTTTCTCGGAAGAGCTCCGACGCGATCAACGCACCCCGTGCTGCCGAACCTGAGATCAAAAAACTCTGGAGTGACAAAGCTGGCACGTGCTCTGACATCTTGACGTCCGAGACCCTGACGCATGCATCGTGGGATACATGATGGCACAAGACGAGGCCGCGCAAAGGCCTGTTCTCTGGTGCCCCCGTCCCCCTCCACTTCCCCGCATCCTCCTCCACTCCCCGCTCCGCTGCCCCCTGCTTCCGCCCCGTCGACCTCCCTCCCCCCTCCACTCCCCTTCGCTTCATGCCTTACTGTAAGGACCCTGTCTCCCAGAGATAAGAAGAGCGCTCGGTCCAGATCCCAGGCAGCTCTTGCATGCGACACGAGCTCCTGACAGAAATAGTGGGAAGAAACGGTATATATGGATGTCTGTTAAGATAGAGAGATAGAGAGAGAGAGACAGACGTAGCGGGATAGAGAGAGACACATATCCGTCGATCTGGCGTGTGAGTTTAAGAAGTCTAAGCTGAAGCTCTGCTTCAGCATGAGCTTTAGCTCTGCTTGGGAGGGGGGGGGAGGGGGGGGAAGTGAGTACCTGGCAAATTAAGTGCTCGGCACCGCACCTCCCCCCCTGCCAGCACCCAGGAGAGAGGGGGGAGGGCAGGAGAGAGGGGGGGGGAGAGGGGCGGGGGGGACAGGAGAGAGAGGGGGGGGGACAGGAAGGGGGGGGGGGGAAAGAAGAGGGGGTGTGGGACAGGAGAGAGGGGGGGAGGACAGGAGAGGAGGGGGGGGACAGGAGAGAGGGGGGGGAGAGGGGGGGGGGGGGCAAGCTAGGTGCGCTCGCGTCATATCTGACGTCCTACCCCTCCCTCCCATCCCTTACCATGGCGCTGATTTTCTCTATCCCGGACGCGTGTCGTAGCGGACCTGTGGCTCGGGGGGGGAAGACAAGAGAGAGGGGGGGGGGAAGGAGAGAGGAGGAGGGGAAAGGAGAGAGGGAGGGGGGACAGGAGAGAGGGGGGGGGGACAGGAGGAGAGAGGGGGGGAGAGGGGGGGGGGGGAAGGGGGGGGGGGACAGGAGAGAGGGGGGGGGGGAGGGGGGGAACGGAGAGGGGGGGGAGGGGACATGAGAGAGGGGGGGTGTACAGGAGAGAGGGGGTGGGGTGGGGGGGGGCCGGGATCAGTACCAACTCCATCACCATCACCATCACCACCATCGTCACATCACCATCATCATCATCATCATCATCATCATCATCATCATCATCATCATCATCATCAGCATCATCAGCATCAGCATCAGCATCAGCATCAGCATCAGCAGCAGCATCAGCATCAGCATCAGCATCAGCATCATCAGCATCATCAGCATCATCATCATCATCATCATCATCATCATCATCATCATCATCATCATCATCATCATCATCCGGAGCGCCCCGGATCGGCGGCACTGGCCGGAGGCCACTACAATAGAGAGAAAGAGAGAGTGAGAGAGAGAGAGAGAGAGCACAAAAAAAGGAGACTGGAGATATAGAAAGAGAGAGAGCGATGATGCAGACCCTGCTGAGCTTCACTCATGCACGAGGATCCCACTGGTGTGATGGTGGAGCATGTGTGCAGACACGGTGGCCACAACCAACAGGAAATGGGCAATCATGAAATTTAGAATCGGAGACTTTCGGCCCGCAACGCCATCATAGTGGTAGTTTTTTTCGCGTGTGCTTTGCCATTGACGCATACGCGCTGACCTCGGGAAAATCGCTCGGGATGTCACAAAACCTTCTGGATGCCAACGCCTTCTGAATATTAAGACGCATCTCCGATGTAATCATACTTCCAATGCGAGGGCCAAACAACTTTCCACCGTTTGTGGGGAATCGTTCCACCCCTCTCCGCTTCGTTTTCTGATTGCCCAGGAGCCCGACATAGACCATGGAAGGCACAAACATCTAAACACATGCGAAGAAGCTCGGACATCTTCAGAACGAACACATAGAGGAAGAAAAGACTGCATAAACATAAACTGTCGACTGTCCACGCGGATTTATTGGACCTGCGCTGGCCCCCCCTCCCTGGCGAGCGGAGAGCGTCAGGGGCTGCACCGGAAGCGCCTCCAAGGTGGCCCAGAACCGATCCAAGAAATCCGCGCGGACCACCGACAATTCATGTTTATGCCGCGTGTCAGACCTGGCGGTGACCTCGCAATCCGCAAAGACCTCACCGCAAGGTCCGTCACCACACGGTTTTGGGACCTCGGAGGCCCCAGTCGCCCGTGACATCTTCGGAGAAAGCCCCAACTCCCAAAACCATGCGGTGGCTCCGAATCCCCACCGACTCACCACACGGTGTGGTCACCACACCGTTTGGGGACCCCGATCCACCTCGAGAAATGAAGGGCACAAGGCGGTCCTCGAATGCCTCGAGCCACTCGGCCACCGCGGTGGCCTCGATTGCGCGAGGGTCCTCCTCCTCGTTGGCCTTGCCAATGGAAATTCGTCGGGAGAGGTATGGCGACAATGAGCGCAGTAAGAGTCAAGCAGGCTGAGGCAGGCGGCCCACGGCGGGCAATCCCGTTCGCGCGCGTGTTGTTGATTGCGTTGGTGCTGTTGTCATGTGGTCGACGGTCGGACTTGGCGCTGTTGCCGATGTCGGCGCTGTGCTTGTGATACGCAACTGGGCGTATGATGTGCCGAAGCACGCGTCGCTGGGATCGTCGTGGTGTCGGGAGCACGTCTTTGGTGAGTATCCCCAAGGCGTAGCCGTACAAGACGGTCGGCTCGACTATACCTCTGGATAGTCTGCGCCTGCTGTGAAGAGGGTACCGCTTGCTTTGTAGATCGTCGGTGGGTTCAATCTAGTGTTGCTCGTGCGACGGCAGCTTCTGGACATGTTATGTTTGTTGCTCAGTGATGTGGAGCGTAGGTGGTCCAACGAACTAGCGATTCCACAATCATTATCCCCGTTAAGGGGTGGTTTACCTCTCCACCTACCCCCCTCTCCATGGGTCTGAAGGGAGTATTCCGCGAGGGGTTGGAATGTTCAAGATGGCATCCACGATCGCATAATTTAGCCCGAGATGGCTCACCATAGCGCCCCATATGCCACCAAGAAGCGCCATGATCGTCCTAAGACGGCTCCAGGGGGCCAAGTAGCGTTCAAGGACAGACACACACACACACACGACAGGCCCAAATTCATCCCAAACCTGTTGGCAATCAATGGTTTTTATTTTATCGCACGTTCGTTTCCGATGAATCTTGGAACCGCCAGATAGCTCCAGGATGGCCCAAAAAGGGCCCAAGAGTGGCCCCAGGCAGCCGCAAGAGTGCCTGACTGGCTCGTTTGAGCCTCCAGGGTGCCTGGCGCACCTGGAACTCGTGGCGCACATGGCACGCGTGGCGCTCCTGAGGAATATGCTGAGACCCCCCGGGGTGTTATCTATGTTATTTATGTGCTGGGAGGGCGGGTTGTAGTGAACGAGACGGCTTGCGGGCGAAGGATGGACCTCGACCCTACCCCTTACCCCCTCCCCTGGACCTGGACGGGGGTTTCCGCGACGCGTTGGACCGTTTGCAAGATTGCCAAGGACAGCTCCGAAAGCGCCTCAGGCAGCCCAAGATGACTTCCAAGATGGCTCAAGATAGCCCAAGATGCCCCAAGATGGCTCCGCAAATTGAATTATGCTTGCGTAGCGTTTCCCATGAATTCGGGTGGCCAACGCGGCCAGTTCTCTTGCACGCGTAACGCAATTGCCGACACATGGGATTACCACTCGTGAACATGTTCGAGCACCATTGTTCCCGAGAAGCCCGTGCGAAAACAAGCTTAGTACGGAGATCTGTCGGATTTGACATGTCTTTGATTGCGAGGCCGTCGGGACATAATT